CCCCCTGGAACCGTTGGTCCTGTTGTTTTCTCCTCCAGACTATTCATCCAGTCTATCTTATCTAGATAGATCTGTAGAGATAATAATATGCATAAAAAAACCAAGCCAAAGCAAGATAGGCAATCAGTAAGAACACAGCGATGGCAACAAAAAAGGAAACCAATTACCCATAGAAGAATAAGTTAATTAAACGAAAAAAAAAATTTTTAAGCAGAAAGAAAAACCTGTAAATAGATCAAGGTCTGATTTTTGATCTCTAGGCGTGTCCTTCAGTCAGGACCGATGGGGTACCATGCTCTGGCCCCCAAGTCTATCCTTTTCCCAGTTTTTGAAATAATGTTTTAGACAGCTTAGGACATGATTCATGTGTATGAAGTTTCACTGTAAATTTAATGAAAGGCATACATACACAAAAATGAGTATTTCATTCCTTTCTTCCTTTCTGCTGGGGATCATGTAACCATTCAAGGCAGAATCAGTTCTGTTATAGTGGGTGGGCCTTAGAAAATTATTTTCTTTTTGCTCAGAAGAGGTTGAAGCCTTTCAGAGATTTCTAACACTTTGTATAAAGTGCTAAACCACTTCAGTCTCACGCTTTCTTATGTTGTCCATCATGCTTCTGAGAGGGTGAGGCTCACTTTTCAGGTCTTTCACGGTTTTGTTTTTCACGCAGCAGCAGCAGTCAAGCACTTCATAAAGGAAGGCCAACACCACTAGAGATACCACCGTAAATATAAATAAAAGTAGGATGACAAAGCAGGCAGTATTCCAGTTGTCATGGAAAGGGTAAATTTTTTGAACTTGAAAACTGAGGTACTGATAAACAGATGTAGTGGTTTCATTCCAGTAGCTGGAGCTCAAGGTGGCCATACTTCTTATATTGCTCTTTCAAATCTATAAAACAGAATACAAATATTTGTAACCATCTCTACAGATTTATCAGTAAAATTCCAAATCTTTGTATTAAGATTTCTGTTGATCATCAGTCTTCTTTTTTTCTCATAAGAAATAATAAAGAAATCATTATGAATGATTTGTTGTATCTGTGAATTTCCAGTTTATCTATGCCAATATACTCTGCATGCCATACTCTTAAAAATATTATTATTAGACATATATATATACACACATACATATGTATATACATACATACATACATACATGTATATATATATACATGTATGTTTTTTTATTTTTAACTTATGTGAATCAGGTAAAGTTTACAGAGCAAACTGGTTTTTCATTCAGTATGTATGTTCTTTTGTTTAAATTTGATATCCAGAAATTATTACCTGAAGAGTTTTTAAAAAGGGCAGCTGATGATTTAAAACCTGGCTAAAGCAGTGGTCAGGGGCTATTAACCTACAAGAAATCTTGGCTTCTTTGTGTGTGTGATTAGGCAGTGGACCATTTTTTTAATTGTAGGTTGGGTGTAAGTTTACAGAACAAGGTACTTTTCCACTCAACAGTTTACGCACATTTTGTTTTGTGACATAGTTGTAACCTCCTCAATATAATAGCATCCTTCCCATTTCCTCCCTGAGTTTCCATTTGTACTTCTTTCCTGCCCCTTCCTGCTTTCTAAACTTTGATTTTGGGGCAAATGCTGCCCTGTTGGTCATGATGGTTAATTGTTCTGAGGTTTCTGCTTTACACTGCCTCGTATAAAAGCTTTTCTCATAACCTTTGTGGATTCTCTCACCTTCTTGGTTCAGTGTGTTTGTCTCCTATTACCACTCCTTTAAACTTTTGATAACAGGAGATCTGAATTATGAAATAGAGGTTGAGTGAAAAATGATAGAGAGAGAGAAAAGCCAACTAAAAGCAATTTTCAGAATAAGAATAAAGTTTTAGGTTTATCTTACTTGTGAAAAGACAGGTTTGAGGACTTTCTATGTGTATGATAAACTTCAATGCTTTATATATATAAATGACTCAGGGACAGTAATATTTAACAAATTAATTTTCCCCAAAGAGTTAATTATTAAATGGTTACATTTCACAAAATAAGTTAATGAAAAGTTTCAGTATTTTTTTTTTTTTAATTTTTTTTTTTAGT